GGCCGCCGTCTTGCCGCACTCGGGGCAGGACACGGCGCCCGGGGCCGCCGGGAAGCTGGGCAGCCCGGGCACCAGGGGCACCAGCGGGGGGCTGCCGGGCTCCTGCTTGTAGGCCCGGGTGGCCTGCGTGTCCCCCGTCCCCGGCCCCTCAGGGCCCGCCGCCGAGTCTCCTGCTGGGCAAAGGCAGAGCGTCAGGTGGGGCAGGGGAGGAGGCCCACAGGAGGGCGGGCGGGGTGCTGAGGTGAGCCCCGCACACAGGCTTCCTCCTCAACCCAGAGCCTGGGGCACACGGGGAAGTGCTGGCAGGGGGTGGAGGTAGATGGACTCACTGCCACTGAGTCGGTGCCTACTCGGGGTGACCGTATAGGGCAGGGGTGTCAAACTGGCGGCCCGCGGGCCGCATGTGGTCCCCGAGGTAATTTTTTGTGGCCCACGATGCTCTGAAATAAAATGAAAATAGAAAAAATTGTTATGGAGAAAATAGCGCTTCGGGGAGATGGAGGCAACACCGTACTGACAATTCCCTTGTTACATTTTATTTCAGAACATCGTGGGCCACCAAAAATTACCTCAGGGGGGGGACCCCATGCAGCCCACGGGCCGCCAGTTTGACACCCCTGGTATAGGGCAGGGTGCAGCTGGCCCTGTTGAATTTCCCAGACTCTGAGCTGAGTTGAAAGCCCCATTCCTTCCACAGGGCAGCTGTTGGGTTCGGACTGCTGACCTTAAAGCCATCAGCCCAAGGCTTGCAGGTGTCGTAGGAATGGCAGAGGGCTGGGTGGGTAGGTGAAGGGTGAGCGGGCAGATCAGACGGCAGGACGTGGAGGGATGGGTGAATGAGTGGCAGGTGGATGAGTAGATGGATGGATGGGTGGGTGGGCAAGCATTTAAGTGGGCAGACCACATGGTCAGGAAGGTGAAAGATGGCAGGTGGATGGGTGAACAGATGGAAGGGTGGATGGATGTGTGGGTAGATGGATAGGTGGATGGGCGAAGGGTAAGTGGGCAGATCAGATGGTCGGGAAGGTGAAGGATGGGTGAGTGGCGGGTGGGTGGATGACTAGATCCACTTAGCGGGAAGGTAAGGTGATAGACGGAGTTGGGATTGAGCTGTGTCCTCCAAAACTACATGCTGCAAACCCTAAGCTCCCTGCCTGAGGTTGTACTCCCCTGTGGGGATGGGCTGTCTGCAGTGTCGGGGAGGCAGGGCGAGGGCAGGGTGCTCTGTAACGCAATCACTCGGGTCATAGGAGGGGGCGCGAAGAGCAGAGGCGGAAGAGAGAGGCCACGCCAAGTAAAGGTTGCCCAGGGAAGGGACGCTGGGGGAGCGCATCCCTTCAGAGCCGAGAGGAGGCCTTCCGGGGCCCACGTCCTGCGTCTGGACTTCCAGCCTCCTCCACCGACGGAGAACAGGGTCCTGCCTGCTCAAGACGCCTCCCGGGACATGGAAGCGATGACCGCGTTAGAGGACAGACCGATGGGTTCGTGGCAGGCCAGTGCCCCAGTGGCCTTCTGGGTAGACATGGGTGGGTAAGTCAAATGGACAGGGGTGGATGAAAGGTGGGTAAAGAGGTCACTGGGAATGTAGACTGACATGAGTGAGTGACGAATGGCTGGGTGTGGGGGTACATGGAGGGGTGGCTGGAGGATGTAGGAGTGGGTGGGTAGGTAGGTGAGTGGGCATCCCTGTAGACATGAGTGGCTGGGCCGGTGGGAAGGGCAGGTGAAAAGATGGGTGGGTGGGTCAGTGGACAATGGAGGGATGGGCAGATGAGTGAACAGATGAACAGATTCTCAGCTGGGGGGTGGTAGGAGCGGGCAAGCATGATCTGAGTGGGAATCCAGGTAGATGCATGAGGGCTGGGCGGGTACCACTAAGATGAACAGAGGGGGAGGGAGTGAAGGATGCCTGGCAGGTGGAAGTTGGAAAGATGGATAGTGGTGTGGACGAGTTACTAAGACATCTGAGTGGGCATGCAAGTGTCCGTGGAGACGTATGCGTAGGCGGAGAGATGATGGACAGATGAGTGGGCAGCAGGTGGCTAGCATGATGGATGAGTAGGTGAGTGGATGGACAGGTAGAGTGTACAAGTGGTCGGGCTCATCTGTGTGGATATGTGGTAGGTAGGTATGATGGACAGAGGAGTGGACGGTAGGAGGTTAGAGTGATAGGCGGGTGGATAGACGGACGGACGGATGGATGGATGGATGGATGGATGGATGGATGGATGGATGGATGGCATAGTATACGAGTGGACGGGCTCATGTCTG